TCCAAATCTCAAAAACACAAAATGTATCTTGTTCATATTTATGTACTTTTGAAAGTTTAAATTTGGATTGATTTTAACGGGACGAAACTATGTAGAGTAGTTTTTTTTTAACACTACGCTATACAAAAGACTAAAGACTTGGATCTTTGTGATTACACTAAACTGAAGTAATTCAAAAGATCACAGCTCTTTCCCTTAGGCAAATAAAAGTAGAAAGCATGCTTTTCCAGGGATGCACCTCTCCCATTTAAAGCACAGGCGGCTTTCCGTTTCGACAGAATCGGGAAGAGAAAACAACACCGGTTGCGGGAGAAAACACTTGCTCACTGTTAGTAGGGCGTCACAGTACAACAGGATCACGGTCTCATTCCTACACAGAGAACATAATTATGCACTTAGATTTGAAAGAAACATCTTGTTGGGCTTAATTTGCAATGCAAAGGCAGTGCGCCGTTTCAGATGTAGCCGAATTCATCCAGAGGCCCGACTGCACGCTCCTACAGACCTACTTGCTTTCAATAACAACACGTACATGTGCTGCCTGTGATAGTGATGATGTCTGAGGGGGATCTGCTTAGGGAAAAAAAAACAGAGAGAAGGCAAAGGAAAGCACGGGAATGATGTGTGACGGCCTAGAGAGATAAACTGTGTGTTGTGTGCGAGAGAATGAGGAGGTTTAAATTAAGAGAAAAGGAAGGATAAATGGATTACCATGAAAGAAATGAGTGGAGAGGCAGAGGGAGCGAGAAAAGGCAAATGAAGAGACAAATGGATTAGCAAACCCAACGCGAAATGTCACTTGTCACTTGAAAGAGAACAGGTGGAAATGAAACGCACAGAATATCATATTCTTTCTCTTTCCATCAGCGGTAATGGATTTTTCTCTAGCATTTAACCAACGCCACACAGAGGAACATTACAATCCATTAAGAAGAGTGTGTTCGTGCAGATGTGCCAATCGCTATACGGTGCACACTAAACGCTAGCCCCTTATTACCCCAGCTTTCCTTGGAAAACATAATCACTCTGAGTGCACCTGTGGGCAGTGTTTGGCCGTGAATCCAGCGAACTGTAACCTTGAAAAGAATCAACAAACAATCATTTCCATCCATGACCTTCTTTATTGCTCGTTAAAAGGGAAGGCCATTCAAAATTGCAGTTCCGACTTGAAAGAAACAGGCTTGGCTAAGTAACTTAAGGGTCTGTCATTAATTTTCCTGCCGAGGCGCAATCGGAACAATGCTAAAAGCACATAAAATGAAAACAAATGATAGACTTGTGGCATGCCTTACGTGAGTGTGCTTTTTCAGCGGATGTTCTATTTATTGTGCACTCCTGGCAGGAACCTGGAGCGGCCCTGGGATTAACTGGTGCGCTCAAGGGCGAAACGCCAACACGAGATCTCACAGTTCACGGTTTCTTCAGTTACTTCAGTGTTTCAGTTATCTGTCCAGAAATGTTTAATGCTACAGAAGATTTCCATTTCATACAAACGTTGTTCTTTTGAACTTTCTGTTCATCAAAGAGAATTCAAAAAAAGGATTCAACATTGATAAAATAAATGTTTTTGAGCACTAAATCAGCATATTAGAATGATTCCCGAAAGATTGTGTGACACTGAAGACTGAAGTAGTAGAGTGCAACTCCATTCATTTAACCTTCAACAATAACTTTTTAGGATGCCATCGATTTAGGATCTTCTATTCAAGTCGTCAGGCCGTTACTAAAGCCGTTAAAGGGATACTCCACTTTTTTTTTGGAAATAGGCTCATTTTACAACTCCCCCAGAGTTAAACAGTCGAGTTTTACCGTTTTCAAATGCATTCAGCCGATTTTCTGATAGAATATAGGTAGAATATCAGTAATCAGAGAGTTTCTGGTCCCATTGACTTCCATAGTATATTTTTTTCCTACTATGGAAGTCAATGAGACCAGAAACTGTCTGGTTACTGATATTGTTCTAAATATCAGAAAATCGGCTGTATGGATTTGAAAATGCTAAAACCCAAATGCTTAACCCTGAGGTAGTTGTAAAATGAGCCTATTTCCAAAAAAAGTGCAGTATCCCTTTAAGTACACAGTCGTGTACCTTTGCATTTTTTGTCCGATTTCAATACGTTTGAGCTTCAAATCAAAGTTTGTAAGTTTATGATTCATTTTGTTGCTGGTTGGCTTGGTTCATGGTTTATAAAGGTGTAACTGAGGCTTTAAAATCCCTACGAGAGAAATGAATGGAAAAAATACTTCCGGAACCAAAGTCGCTTAAAACGTTGGCAGGCTCTGTTGCACTTAGTGACTGCTGAAAATTCAGCTTTACCATCACAGGAATGCACTACATTTTAAAATAATAATTCTCTCAAAACATATTGATACTGAAATAACTGAGACGCATCCAATACTCATTTTCCGCTGAATAGATACAAGATACCAGCTGACCTTTTAGTGAATAATTTCACATAATTACTGTTTTACTGTATTTTAGATTAAATAATTGCAGCCTTGGTGAGCATAAGAAACTTACTGACCCCAAACTTTGAACATTACTGTAATTATGGACCAAATAATTATAATAATTATCGACCAAATGACATGTACTGTAAATCGAAAAATCACAGTTTGTTTTTGTTTTTATGCGTCATTTAGAGGAAGGGCTATCTGAAATGGACAATAGAAAAGAAAAAAAAAAGTAAAATAGCTTGACTTTAAAAGAACAGTTTTTTCAAAAACGCAAGTTCTAAAATCATTTGCACATCAAGTCAGTATGAATTTCTTTCTTCGGACACAAAAGAAGATATTTTGAAACACAATAATAAACATCAAAGAGGTCCAGTGTTGTTTGGAACACACTGTTCTTGGCAATAACCTTTTAATTTTTTATTTATTTTTTTGGTAAAAAAGAAAGTCATACAGGTTTGGAACAACATGACAGAATTTTCATTTTTAATTAAATAAATAAATAATAATAATAAAATGCCACTTTACAAGTACTTCTTCATCTTCCTGGAAACTGTGACTTTGTATCTGTGCTCTTTGTAAACGCATGAAAGAGCCACAGTGCTGGTTTATGTTTTTCACACTGCAATATAATTACAAGAACGTTTCCTTGTGTTGTTTTGTATTAAAACCTGTTCAGCCAGTAGCTAAGGAGAGAGCTGATAACTAAGTGACAGCTCTCAGAAATGAGCTGTGTAAAGACTCTTACACAAACACAGATGGTTTCAAGCTAACAAGAGCAAAAAGTTGGAGGACTTGAGTTCACAGAATTAGCTTCAGGTCTAGTTCATTAAAACTAAATGTCTTCAAACTGCCAATCATGTGTCAGCAGAAGACAAGTGCTCACAGAAACTTTGTGCAAATATTAAAATGTATGCTTCCAACTCATAATTTTCTTTCCTTGTTTGTCTCCTTTTCTAAGCCATATTTTAGAAAACATGAGAGCGTAAAATCTCTTCAATTTTGTGTACATATTGAAATGGATTCACCATTTATATATACGGTCTATTCCAATTATACACAATGTTAAAATGTAAATGAAAAAAAAGAGAAGCTGTGACAGTATTTGTATTTAAAGTTTGATTCAACATTCGCAGGCAACAATCACCATCCAATAAAACTTGTAAAAGGTGTGCACTTCTATGCTTTCCTTCTGAATTCAGTGCAGGCTCTACACTCACATCTTTCAGTAGTCAAAGTTTCAAAAATTTAGGGGTACAGTCAAAGTTGACTTTTATTATGACTATAACATTACAGTAGTTTTACAAGCAGACCAGAAGTTGCCCTTCGATTTCATGATCTTTTTAAGATGAATCCAAACTTTCAATCAGAGAAGTTTTTACTCCGACATCGCACTTTCCACAAATACAATAAACTAGGTTGTCAGTTTAGTTTCTTTAAAGGATCAAAAGGCACAAGCACAAAGGTGCTAAAAGGTACTTTTTTTAGGGTTAAATTCTTTTAACTTGCCTATACGCTTGCATATTACTAGGATACTGGCTGTTTATTAGTACTCATATCAATGCCTTATTCTGCATCTCTAATCCTATCCAATAGCTAAACTTAAACGCTACAAAAACTACCTTACTAACTATTATGCAGGACATGAGATCCACAGGGAGGAGTCAGATAAAGATCCAAGGGGTGGAGATGGGTAGGATTAGGGTTGGATTTAGGGATCAGTTGGGTATGTAAGGTGGGAGGAGTTGGATCTGGATCCGACTCCTCCCCGTGGATTTCATGTTCTGAAAACCATCTCATTTTATCCCCAGAAATTGGCATCTGTGATACTGGCCTTCATTCACGGTACAAAAATGCCAATAAACAAATATTTAAAATATATGGTCTTTGTTGTTTCTACATTGATTTAGAGATGAAAAATCATAAAAAGAAAATTTATATTACAGATTTTGATGTTATGTGCGATTAATTACATAAAAAAATTTGACAGCACTAATTTAGATGTACCATGTTCCAAATTTTATATAAAATAACATATTTAGTTTGACATCCTGACAGTTGCCGATCAACATTTTCTGAAGGTTAAACGCTTCTTTGTTCAAAATATTTGTAGAAAATTACAAAAAGAAATACTTAATCAACAATCATTACTCGCATTACCATCATCACTTTGACCATTCCTGTGAGAAACCTTGAAGACTTGGCTCATGATCGTTTAAAGATTTTATGAAGTTTTAGCTGACTAGCACATAAACGCTGACCTTCATGATGAGGATTATTAGAGCTCATCGCAATGATGAGGTGTTTTGGTGATTCCTGTGGTCAGGAAAAACATGGTGTGAAGGGAGAAGACCTAGACAGAGTTCCTTCCTCGTTAACTAACGACTCTCAAAGTGAACTGAGAGGAGCATCATTATAACACACCCAGAGAGAGAGAGAGACAGAGATGTGACGAGACTTACGAGGAGAATAAGAGAGAGAGATGCTGAGGTGCAACTGAGGGTGAAAATGAAAGATGGAATTATGATAATGGAACGGAGGGAAAGAGTAACAGGAAAATGAGAAAAGAGGCGTGCAGAGAGAGGATGCAAAAATTTGCAGAGAAGCGGTAAAGCGCTGTCATGTGTAATGCAGATAAACCTGAAATATTACAAGAAAAGAGGAAAAGAACGACATTATACAAGACGTGCAAAACAGGCAGAGGTGGAATGTGCAGAGAAATGGGCAAAACAAAGAGAGCGAAAAAGCTGATACTGTTCTATCGGCCCGTTTCAAGGTGAGAACTTTTATTGTATCGCAAATGAATTCTGTTCTTGACTCGTGTAAGTGTTTGGAAACTTGCTATAGTGCCAGATAAAGAATAATGGCTGTGGAATGGAGGGTGACAGAGAGAAAAGTGTATGTGCACGCTTACCCGGTAAAGCGGGCTGCACTTGTCTTTAAAGCAGGGTGCGAGGCAGGAGTAGATCTGAAGAGAGTAGTAATATGCAGCTAACTGCAGTGACAGTGCCGATGGGGGCTGCTTCTCAAAACACGCATTAGCATCCAAAACCTGAAACCGAAAAAACACAGAGGCGTGTTCACACTGTACACTCATCTTACTTGGCTTTCAATAAGGGGTGCACCAATACCACACTTGTTCCAGAACGAGGTCGATATGATACGATACCTATTTTCACTGCATTTGACATTTTTAAATGCATTAGGTAGAAACCAAAAGATTGTGAATCTTATTAATGCCTGTAAACACCATTGTATTTTGTGAACCAAAGACAGTCTCAACAACTTTGGGTGTTTCTGACGTCACAAACTACTTTGTAACCAATCACGTCAACGAGTGGATCTCTGAGCTGGTGTGAGTGAGTGGAGGAGGTTAATTTGCATATTCATAGAACCAACACTAAATGAGGAAAGGGAGTAGAGTTACATTCAAGCTATTTTAAGACTCCTTTAAAAAAAAAAAAGAAAAAAAAAATTAAATATGTAATTTTGGTGATCAGAGATGAGTTTTAAGGGATACAATGATTGACTACAGGGGGACTTTAATAACAGTGCATATTTAAACCTGCTTCAGCAGGGCTCAAGGCGAAAGATATTTTCTATTGGCCTGGTTGGGTCAGTTCAAATGTTTAGATACCAGTAAAATATCACAATTATCTATTACAATTTTGATACTAGAGCAAAAACTGCAAGCCTAATTAATGTAAATTATTATTCAAGAGAAGTAAACAGTCTGTAATAAAATAAGAACAAATAATCCAATTACGAATAGGACAAATAATTGTAGAACAGCACTGCATAGTCTTCGCTGTATAAATTAAGTATAGATAAATCTTTATTAAAGTTGCAAAAGCCTTTCAGTCAAGGGCAGTGAGTTATATTCAGTTCAATGGCATATTGAGTTTCAATGGCAACACTTTCAATGCAGAAATAAATCTGCTGCAGTCAGGTGGTACAGGTCAGTGCTTTTTAAGTTGTTTATGTTCATTATTATTGTAACGTTATGTGCTTTGAGACATGAGGTACGCCTTCTCTCATCTCGTGACGTTCTGGAGAGCTGTGAAGGGAGGGTGGGATATTATGCTTTCAAAGCTAGCAAGCCGCAAATTGCCTACCCTTCCTTTAAGACTTTTAGCATATACAGTACTGTGTCCAAAACCGCTGATTTGGCATTCATATGTATTTTATAGTGTGAATTTGCATTTATATGTGGAAAGAGTGAGCAAAAACAAGTGTGTTTAGACACATTGAGACAATCTGTGTACTGTGTTTGCCATGAAATTCTTATTAACAAAAAAGATAAATAAAATAAGGAAAAACTGACTTAATTTAAATTAAAAATGGCCTCAAATTAATTTTAGTTCTGAAAAGTATATTCTAAAGCTTTATACATGAACTTCATTAAACATGAAAATACTAAAATGAAAACTTTTTATCTATTCTAAATTGAAATGAAAAAATTCTAAAACAATAATAACACCGGCATGAAGTTACAAACATGATATGTCAAAAAAGAAATAAAATAAGAAACTTCTCATTCTAAATTGAACATGTTTGTTGTTTTCAGTTCAGACCACAAAAATGTAATCAGATTTTTGTTGTTGTTGATCCCTGTCTTAAGTAAAACCTTAGAGATAAAATGACAAAAAGGAGTGGGACAAAAAGGAGTGGGACAATGGGACGCTTGACACTTGCAGTAATGTCCATAATAAGCAGGATAAGTGACCGAATGTGTCACGAACTCGACCCATGAGGACCATCGAGGCTAAAGCAGTAGAGGACAATGGCCACACTAACACCACATCAATTTCAACCCAACTTCACCTGATAATGAACAGAGGAATCACTGGGGACATGCTATCAATTTTAAGCACATAAAGATGTTTTTTTTTTTTACATGATTTTATTAGAGCATGAACCAATTAGCAATCTAGATCAGAAAAATGTAATAATACTTTCAAATGGAGGCCCCTGATGCAACAGGAGTCAGGACAGAGGCTAATACTGTAAGCATTAGACATGATATTAGATTTACAGAGAATCTTAAAATGCTTTATCTTTCAATACGACACAATTTTGACTACAGTGAAAGAAACAGTTATGAAAAACTATAATCTAAGGCACAAACACAGTCACTCAAAATAAGGGAGAGAGAGAGAGAGAGAGGGAGAGAGAGATCTGCAAATAGAGCAGTCAAACTCACCTGAGGTAGAGCCAGTAAATAGGCTAGAGCGAGTGTCATATCTTTGGGAAAAGCATCACTGGCCAGCTGAAGGAGCACTATGAAATGACACAGGGGATGGAGAGAAAAAAAAGAAGGAAGAATATTTCAGAGTTATTCCTTCAGAGCACCTCGCTGTACTGTAAAATGACGTGACAGAAGAAAGAGAGGGAGGGATGAAAATGAGATGAAAATCTCATTGGCAGTGCATAAAACTGAAATGTGACAGTAACAGTAATATTGAGACTATGACACTCAGATTCAGGTGCAGGACCAAAATATAATTTAAAAAAGCAGGACAATTAGTTGTTTGTTTGGTTTCTATTTGTGAGACAGACACATCCACAGCAAAAATTGTTTTGCAGCCAGTGTGGTCTAGCAACTCTCCGTTGGCTTTCGAAGTAGAAAAACCCAACTCTGGTCAGGCCAATCTCATTGTGTATAGCCGTTGGTGGACGGGCTTAACACAATGACGGCAGAGTTGACCGTTCTGCCCCGTGATTTTATATAGGTGATTTCCCTGCTACTTGAACACAAACAAGATGCTGCTGGCGAACAGCGGTCTTTCGAATCGGCTTTGGCCGCAACTCTGGAAGACTTGGAGTTAAGAGAACGTCACTTAAGTCATTCTTAAAAAAGGAAGATATGTTCGGAGTTTCGATGACCGGATATGGAAAAAGTTTAATATATCAACTAGCTCCGCTGGTGCGAAAACACATGGGACTCACTTCGCCACAGCCATTCATTGCTCTGGTTGGTTGTAGCGCTAACCTACAGTATTGCGTGCAGAGGGATATTGAAAGACAACCATTTATCCCGCCCCTCTGACTGAGGTATGCCAATTGTGAGTTCCCAGACCTAACATCTTGATGTAGGTCTGGCTTGCCAGGCTAGACATATGCAGCACCAGACTCTCAAATACGATCAGTGGGTGAGGCAAGTAATTTTTTCAGCAGCCCATCAGTTCCCATTTTTACAGAACTGCAGACAGTGTTAGGTTTTATTCTGCTATTGTCTGCACGACAATGTTATCAAAAACAGCGGGAGTTGAGAGAGTCTCGTGTGTGCTGAAATAAAGGTGTTAGCGTTCCTAACAGTAAATGTTTTAGTGTTTTCAGCTGTTCTGACAGATTCTTCTAACACATCTTTCCTCAAAGTCCCTTTAACATCGAAAACTGATCATAGAAAGAGGCTGTCATTATACTTAAAAACTTGTGCTCTGCTCTATTCTAGAGTGTGTATGTGTGTGAGTGTTTTCTAAAAGAACACGAGAGAGACCAAAAAGATAGACGCACTTTAAGGAAAAAGAACCTTCCAATCTTCACGTGCGACACTGACAGGATATATATATATAAATAAATAAATAAATTAATAAATAAATAAATAAATAAATATATATATATATATATATATATATATATATATATATATATATATATATATTTTTTTTTTTTTTACAAAAAAACAACAACAGACTTTGTCTAATGCCACTGGGTATGTTAGATGAGGTCGATGTATTCATAGGACAGTTAGGGGGCAATGACAATGACAGCAGTCTGAGCTGTGCACTCTCTGGCCGCGCTGCTTGTATCATCTCACTCATGATCTGTACCGTGGCGAGTGAGCTTTTGAACTAAACAGGTCTTGTCTACTTGTGTTTGTATGTCATGTGCCCCATACATGGAATCAGAGTGCCTACTGTACTTCATGTAATAAATGGAAAATCTCTACAGCAAAGGCCAACTGCTACATGCATTCGGTTTGTTTCTACCATTTATTAGTGTTTATTAATATATATCATTTATTAATGATTTACACAGTTACTACTTTACTACTTACTATATGCCTGACCATTCAGTATTGTGAAATATAGCTTACAGAAGGTGAGGGACATCTTGGGGGGGGGGGGGGGGGAGTGCTGCATTTTATCATTTAAACATGTGACATGTGACTCAAGATTCTCACCACCATATGACGTCATAATATACAAATTAGATGGGAAAATGTAATCCCTACATAAACTTTGGGTCATCCTTAATATTTCTCTAATTTACAGTAAGTCTCTATCTTTATCACTTTTAAGATATAGCCTTTTGAAATGAAGATGTCAAAATCGAACGTTTTAGGAAAAACCTCTGGCGCATAAAGGGTTAACAGATTTCCCTATATATGAAGAGTTCAGATGCAAAAGCCTCTAAATGCCATTTGAAATTTTCTTCTAAAATGATCATTTTTATCAAACTTGTATATTTAAGTTCAGTAATTTCACTTAAATGGCAATGATAATTACCTATTAATTGTTATTTAAGTGAAATTACTGAACTTAAATATACAAGTTTGATAAAAATCATCATTAAAGAAGAAAATTTCAAATGGCATTTAGAGGCTTTTGCATATGAACTTCATATATATATATATATATATATATATATATATATACATACTTTTTTTTACGGCTAGGAAAATAAAGCACTTCTAATATGTCAGCAAAATTAAAAGCATTTATTAAGAGATGGTTATATTGTAACGTAAACGACACCTATTTTGTGTTAATTAAGCCAGAGTTGGTGTGCGGTCACACAAGCGGCAAAATTTGTTTAAAAGGTTCAGCAAAGCAAACAAGCATGTTGATCGTTATTTGTGCAGACTGACCACAAGTAGGGTATATAAGTTAACCTCATGAAATCTTTTAAATGTGAAAGTAAGAAATTGATAGATGGAAAGAACTTAACAATTATAGAGACATGTTTGCTAACTAAATAATACAATTAAAACATTTGTGTGGTGTGGCTTTTGTTTTCATGGTTGTCCAAGTCAAACTTGCATTCCTGCTGAAAAACAAGCATTCTAGCGAGAAAATGATGCCTATGAATAGTTTTGCGCACCTTCTTATCGAATTCACATTCCATTTTGCTTGGGAACTAAAGTAGTCAGAACCAAAGTTTACAGGACTGTGTTCCCTGGACTCCTCTCAAGCGGAGAACTTCTACATACCGATTGGTTGCCGCCAAACCACGTCATAGCTCATTACCATAAAGTTGACTTCACTTCAACTCTCCTCGCCGCTCTGTCCGCCAGCTCACATTGAAAATGAATGACTTCCGGTGACTTTGACGCTCTCGCCGGTGGCGGTGTGAATGCATGGAACGTGAAAATCATGCTCTAAGAATGCGTTGTCATACATGCATAAAAACAACTATAAATTGAATGAAAAAATAATACTGTTGCATAGTCAGAAGTGTGATGCCCAGATGAAAAAAAAAAATGCTGACCATATCAGAAGCGGAAAGCATCCCTAATTCATAACCGTTAAGCATTTCACACATAAGAACAGAGATTAGAGAGGACATGCGCGCAATATCTAAACAAGAGCAAAGAACCATGACTCTTTTATAGGAAGAGTATTCAGCATACGTTTTAGCGTGCGGGTCATTAATTTAGCATTATCAGCCTGACGCAAGCACTTTCCTTTCATCTCACGTTCTCCCTCACGAAGGTGACTTTATGCCTGTGGTGCGCAACTGAACGACAGTGACACAGGAGGAATTAAAAGAGAGGATAAGAAAGGAAGAGGTAAAGGGAGATTCGCTATTTGCATTCTTCCACCAAAGATCCTGCACCCGTCCCATCACTCTGCATTGATTTTTTTCATTCGCCTCATCCATCTTGAAGCAAAAGGCCTTGGTATTTTGACTAGCCGCTATCTCTCTTGTATCGGGAGGGTGCGCATTATTTACTGCTGTCTGCTTGCGGTGAGTACACATTAATTAATCAATATGACGCTATTCTCCAAGACATGTAGCCGGCGAGTGGTGATACATCAGTGAGAGGCGAGGCCAGGCTGAGGAAGCTGCCCCGGGGGCCAAAGATTACAGCATTCCTTGCAAGGACACTGCGACTAACAAGAGGGTGATGACGACCGATGGCGGGTGAGGTCACTAGTCACCGTGATGAGAGTTCATTTTAGATGTAAATGTTTGTTTATATAAGGAGCAATACCTTCAGTTGCAGGAAAGAGATTTTGTCCTTCGCTGTTGGTTTCAGCCAGTTTGCCCGTCCGCAGTAAAACTTCTGCAAAGTCTTCTTGAGGAGTGTAGACGTACGAGGAATACACATCCTCAGACTGAAATAGAAATTGAGGAGAGGGGATATTACACTTTTGTTTTTGCTTACTTACTCTTAAATTGTTTTGTAAATCAGTCCCCCAAAAAACACAAAATACACTCCAATTCAAAAGTCAGAGGTAGGAAACATATTTCAACGTTTCTAAAAATAAAAAAAGTATTCTATGCTCAGTAAAGCTGCATTTATTTTATCAAAAATTAATAGATTTTAAAATGTAATTTTTAGTGGTGAGCATAAATATATTTTTTTTAAATCTAGATTAATCTCATTGTAATCTTGGAATTAATCTAGAGTAATCTAGATTGAATTGGCTCATTTGAATTCTGCCGAATTCTCGCAAGTAGTTTGTAAATGGGCAGGGGCGGAGCTAGACTCTCAGTACAGTGGGGGCGGAGCTTCATCATGGGGCTCTCTTCAACAAAGTCATTTTAAAATTAAAACCGTAACTTTGAGAATAGATTAAAGGCGATATTTGTTTTAATCGCCCGATAAGTGTCTCACGTTAACGTCGATAACGGCCCATCAACAGTCATTTTTAAAGCTGAATTTTCAGCATCATTACTTCAGTACACACGAGCCTAATGTGTGCATGTACATATAAACACCTAAATAAACAAGAAAAAGGAAGAAATAAAATCAAGTTTCTGTCTCCTTAAATTAATCTAAAAATGTTGCTCCAAGATGTTAAGAAAAGGTCGGGTTTCGTTCTAACTCCAAATTTAATCTTTTCAAGTTTGACTGCAAAAAGTGGAGGAGATGGCAGCTTCAAATTAATTAGTATAATTCGTCTAGCCAACATAGTGCAATATTATCCATCTCTAAATCTGTCAGTTTAACATTTTCCGCAAAAGCCCCAAATAAAGCAGTAAATGGGTTGGGGTCTATTACTCTGTTAAAAATGTCTGAAAAACAACTAAAAATTCCACCCCAAAACCTTAATAACTTAGGAGAACAGGACCAAAAAGAATGAAACAGAGAAGCTGGCAGAGAGTGGGCAGGTGGGGTCTAATTCAGAAAATATCTGGCAGAGTCGCACCCTAGACCTTTGAATACCTTAAATTGAATAAGCCTATGCCTAGAGCTAACTGAAGAGCAATGTTTTTAAGATTATGTCCCAGGTTTCATCTTCTAACATAGTAGTTAGGCCATAAGTCCTCTTCCCAAAGAGATTTCAATGACCTGAGATAGGGTTTGTTTGTTTGTTATTATGCTATAAGATTGTGTTATTTTTGATGGAGATAAAAATTTTAAAATGATGTATTATTATTATCTTTTATTACTCTTGACATCCCTTTTATGTTTTTGAGAGAAGTAGAAAAGCTCACCAGCTCTTTAATTTTGGTATATTTGTCACATAAAGCTATTAAAGTGTGCTTCCAGAAATAAAGCACACAAGTCATATGGACCTCTGATACATTATGAAATACCTTTCATTTTGGAAGTTTGAAAGGTTCACTGTAATTGCATGGAAAAGAGTGATCTGTACATTATTCAATTTCTGCTTTTGTGTCCCACTGAGGAAGGTCAACATGAGTGTAATTAAATGACAAAATATCCTTAACCTCATTAAAACTCAGAACTAAACTTCATATTTACTTTTTCCTTTATCACAGCAGTGACTTTGGCAAGACATGGGGATGATAGAGAGTGAGAGAGAAAATAAAGCTGTGGGAGAAAAACACAGACAGATGCAAACCAGAAGGAAGGAGATATAGTAAAATTTACCGCATTGATGTATGGATCATCGAAGAGCTCCTCGTAGAAAGGACTGCATCCCTGCCTCTCCAGATCTGTGTTCCGATTGGCCGCACCGGTGCGGCTTCTATCCGCGGCCTGTCCCTGAGAGGAGATAAATGCTCATTAAACATTCATAGGATATTCATAAAACATTCACAGACACGCATGCAGGAACCATTAATGTTTCAGCCATGCTCATAAACGTTTGTATGGGGCCAGATCCTTCTGCCGTTTGGGGGGGCGGGATTTGTGAGTCACTATGGAAGGCCATTAGGAATGCACAAGTTCTGCTTGTCATCAACCATTTCACAGGAAGGACTCTGGCTTGGGAAACCAGAAACAGGAACTCAAAAAAACAAACCACTTCACAAAGAGACGCGCAGACGTCGGCCGGGGAGAGGTTCATTCAATCATGCCAGGTTTTAATGGCAGAACAACATCTGCCAAAAAAATGTGCAGGCGAGTCTCACTGTTGAGCTTTGTCCAAACTGTTCCTGGCGGTTATGTTTTGAAGAGGAGTGATGCATAATTGGAGCGAGGTTATACTTCTGAGAGTGGTGAACAAAACCTTTCAGCCTGAATTTAAATGCGACTTACATGCAATGGGCGAAGTAAGCTGAGGGACTCCCTCCACCAGTGGGAGTCACTGACAGTGGTCAGCACGGCTTTGGTAGTCATGGTGGTGTTGGTCAGGACCTCTATGGTGCGGGCTGTGGTTCTGTGCAGCAGGTCTGTGGGGTAAATGGATCCAGGAACAACAGCTCCAGCCTGCTGTGGGCAGCCAGGGAAGGTTAGACATGAGCCATAATGAGCAAATTACAGTGGTTATAGCTACAGAAAATAATAAACATATTAAAACAGATTTTTTTTTCCTGCTTTCTAGAGGCACCTTTAGCTTTCTCACTAGTGATATTTTCTTTAAAGCTGCTGTGGAAAACAAAAAGTTTAAATGCTTTACAAATAAAAGAGAATTAACTTGACAAATCAGGACCATGATGCTTTGATTTATTGCACAATATAACCAAAAAAATATGTACCTGGAGTATTTTAATACATGACAATATATGATAAAATGCTAAAACTGTAAAAGAACAAGTTCATACCGATGTCATATATTAGTAAATAAGCAAGGCCGATGGATGAGATGGGAAGGTGTGAAGAGGAGGAAGATCACTTGGAGCGAGCTGTGGAGTCCAATATGCTGAGCTTTTCCATATGATGTTCTGCCCTCTCCAACCAACCTACATCTCTGTTTTGGAGAGGATCCAGCCTGCCTTCATTGTCTTGCCCCAGAAACCCTGAAAAACATCCTGGCGGGCTGCAAGACCAGCCTTACGCAAGGCAGACACAACCAAGTGCTGAAGTGCCTGGACACTGCTACACTGGAGAATAAGAGGGTAACCGTCAATGCATGGGCCCTGGAAACCCAGACTACCTTGCGCCTACCAACATCCTTCGTCCGGAAAGGGGAGAAACGGTAGACCAAACGATCGCCTCCAGACTCATGCCCACTGAATGCAGTCCGGGACTGGGAAATGCGGGTAGACTTAAGTCAGAGGCTCATCTTCCCACTCGAAATAGCAGCGACCAACCTATATTGGGAGTGACAGTCCCGTGGGAAGCCATCGATGAGGCATTTGAAAGTAAAAGGATGCAAATTTGACTGTTAAAGCAGAGGACCAGGGCTGGAAGGTAAACGTGCATCCAGTCGAAGTGGGCTGCAGGGGCTTTGTAGCTAGTTCAACTACAAGGTTCCTAGAGGAGGTAGGAATCAGAGGACAGGCTCAGCGGAAGACCATCAAAGACTGAAAGAAAGCAGTCACTGGCTGTGGCTGAAGCAGAAGACGACTATATGGGCTGCCAAGTGACCTCATTGAGCCAAGGTCTCATCAGCTTGTGGTGGGCCAGCCTTGGGTGAGGGTGTATTGTGATAAAAGGCCAAAATACCCATACCCAATGAGGCCGGGGTGCACAACTGATGAGGTGTCGTATTGGAGGCACCAGGCGGTCATCCCACAATCCAAGGCCACCCAAGAGGCTGGCGGTAGATTCTTTTCCTATTTAGCACCAAAACTTAGGAACAATCTTCCTAACATAGTCCAGTAAGCAGACGCACTCTGTCAGTTTAAATCTAGACTAAAAACAAATCTCGTTGGCCTAGCATACACATCATAGACTTCTATAATTAAATTTAGGCTGCATAGTTTAGTTCAGCTGGAACCGGGAACACTCCCTACTAATCCTGATGTACTTGTTACATCAAAAGAAGGATGGCATCTATGCTAATATTAGTCTCTCTGTTTATCCGAGGTCTACTGCAGTTCGCCAGCATCCAGGCCATATCCAGATCTGATGCAGGATCTACGCCTGGATACGATGACAATGCAGTCCTGAAGTGTCAACCAGTCCCTTTCCTGTTTACTGAAGTCAGATAGATCCCAGCTGTATCCAGATCAGATGGTGGACCTGCACCTGGACCCATCCATGATGCAGCCCTGTGAAGGCCTCATCGACACGATAGCCATCGATACTGATCCTCAACAAACTCGTCTCAATACCGGCGTGATCTGCCTTACTTAAAGGAGCTGTATGCAAGAAATTTATTTCAATTAATCATAAATTTTCCCTTATAAGTCACTAGATATTAAGAAATCATGTTCATTTCAAATACTTATATCACTGACATCAGTAGTCCGGCCAGGATATTGTCATTTAAAAAGTGAAGTCGCAGCCCTTGACTGATGTTGATGTTGTCAAGTTGTGTTTTGTTCTGATGCGTCACCCTTCACCGATCTACCAATCACGGACTGAGTAGTGTTGCGGCATTCGGGTTGCCAGCTCTTCTCTAGTTACCACAGCTGCAGATACAAACGTGTCAGAATCGGATAAAAAAATTCTAACGTTGCAAAACCCCAAAAAACTCGGTATGAATCCAAAATACTTTTGTTACAAAGTCCGAAATAAATAATTAACAGAAAAAGACTCGTCACTTGCCATTGGAAGCTTCTTGTAGCAGCCTACATTCCTGCGGGAACCTGCAGCATATCTGGCAGCCTCGAGTCATGGGGGAAGGCACAGATACACCCTAATTTGAAAGTGATTGCAGTACCAGTTTTGGCCACAATCTTGCATACAGCTCCTTTAAGGTGGACGATGATGCAATTTTCTTCTAGAAACAAACTTTGTTGTACTATTTTCATGTTATCACTGTGAAGCTGCTTTTGATACAATCTGTATTTTTAAAAGTGCTACTGTAAATAAATAAAGGTGACTTGACATCTCCAAAAACAGTGCTTACTGAATATCACAGGACTCTAACATGTAGTCCTAGTAAGTACTATTGCGATTTATTTTAAATACATTTTTAAATCATTTTTTAGTTTAATTAAATTTTTATATTTTATAAGACTCAGTAAGACCTTTCTTAATTAAGACCATTAAGAAAGTACATGGTGCCAATTTTGATTTCATATTGACGTTGGATTGATTTTAGGGCTAGGACAGTCCCAAAGTGGATTTCTTGACATTTAATTTATTTTCTTTTTATATAACCAGTCAACAGATCTACTAATCAGGCTAAGAGATTTGACATACACTTAACTATAACGATTTGTGTCAGAAGTGGACGCCAAATAAACATGGACATTCAGGACTGTAAATGTTATCATGTTGTAAGTAGGTAGAAAATATGCTAAGGCAAGAATTACCCAGCAGGGAAAATACAGACACAAAGAAACTAGAGTAAATCCCAGCAGGAACAAAGATATCCCTTTAAGCCTAGAAAACAAACAAAAGCACTACTATAGTCATCTCATTGCACTAAAGTCAACATGCATTATAAATGAAGGTATAGGCACAGGGACGTAAATTGACTCCTGAGCAAGAACGCTCTCCACCATCAATGGAGCAAAGCACCGCCAGCTCTCTGTAGCAACATGACAAAACAAAGCGAATGCAGGTGTTTACATGTTACCGGGATGCAGGTGAACTTTTCAAAAATGCCAGAAACAAGGGAAATGAAAACTAGCTCACACTGCCCTTCTAGATTGTGTGTACAAAGCTGAACCACGCATTTGCCCTCATCAATACTTCATTCAGTTTTAAACGCACACTTACCCCATAAACAACACACACATTTACACAAATCTATTTTTGTGCACATGAAACTTTAAACATGCAGTTTCCTTTCTCATGATGAGGTGAAAACAGTGCTTGCTATGAGTCAAGTAGCTGGGCTCTGAAGCCATATTTACACCATATGAAAAATGCAGAGTCACTCTGTCACTGAGGCATTAAACTCATAGTTCAGTCAGAGGCTGTGCTTTAAAGCCCACTATAATGTAATAATCCAGGGGAAGATTTGCCATTTCATAGCCATGAATGAAGCATGTGTGCTCATGTTAAAACGTGTGATGATGAAAGCTTACAGTCAGCAAAGAAATCCAAATTGAAACTTTTTATTTTCTTATTCAAGGTTCATGGACTTACTGGGAACAATGTATTGTTCATCATTTCAAAAGAGAAAAAAGGTAACTTCTTAATCTTCAAAATATAATAACGTGTGCTTTAATATAATAATCATTATAGTGTAAAGAGGTCATGACATTTTTGCTTAAAAAAAAACAAATATGCACGTGGAAAAACGTCATTCTGACCCTCTGTCTGAAATGCTCCGTTTTAAAGAACCTCCTTTGAGGGCATGTCAGTAAACAGCCACTGTTATAATTGGCTAACGTCATTGCATAGAAAACAGCATCAACGCCCACTCGCTATTGTACGCGAGAAAGTGTTTTGAAAAACATTACACCTGTAAAACCACAATTTACAGACGAAGCATCATCAAATCATTAACTTACGAGTTGTGATGCAGCTGCTGTCAGCTCAGATCCAATACAGTTGGATGCTTCATCTTTCAACAATGTTTTTTTTTTTGCCACTGTGCCACTTTTACAAAACAAAATGCTCTGAACCAACACATAATCATCCGATGTGATC